TGTATACAGTATTAGGGTTGGTAAGATAACAGATAAAATATAAAGTTTTACCAAAAAAGACAGATCTGGTATTTACATGGTTGGTATAATTGGCTGAGTCTGTATACAGTATTAGGGTAGGTAAGATAACAGATAAAATATAAAGTTTTACCAAAAAAGACTTTTGATATTAATTTAGGATGTCCTACAGGTTATGCAAATTGAATTTGAAAACTGTAAAATGAAAACATATTTTCAGTCTTAACATGAAAATCATTTCATTTTTTTATCCTTTATCTAAAAAAAGTTATATATATTATATTGTATATTTATTTTATTTGCACAGGTTGGTGCTTTGTGCCATTAAATCCCAACAAACAATCTGTTACACTACCTTCCTGCTTAGTTTCTATGCATTACACCTGCATTTTGTTGTTTTATATTTGTCACACCTCTCTCCTGCACCTTTCTATCTGTTATGCCTACTGCTCTTTTTCTGGGTTTTACTTTTCTCATGCACTGCACTATATCTTTCACCCTCTCTCCTGTTTCGCCTTTTCCACATCTCCCTCCAGTACCTTCTCTTTATAGTACACCCCTCCTGCTCTTCATTTGTTACATCTTTCTCCAGCTGCTTTATATATTACACTTCTACTACTACTACTACTACTCATCTACTATTTTACATCTCTCTCCAACCCCTTATGTGTATATTACACCCATTCTCCTGGTCTTTATCTATTACACCTCTATTTTACACCCTCCTCCTGCTATTTTAGCTATTTCCTTGTCTGTTACACCTCTTTCTTATTCTCCTCATGGTTAAAACCATTTCATATTATTTCAGAGTACTCATTTGGATATCAATAATTTTTATGGTTAGTAGCCTGTATGGTCATGTAAGTAATTATTAATTAGTAACTACTTTCTTTTCTTTTTAAGCTAGATGGTGTTTATTAACTAATTTTTTATCCAACATATTGGTTACTAATCTGGTACCACCTTCAGTTGAGTTCTGAGGACTGTTTTCTGTGTTGGTGGTGACCAGAATTCCATGCTGGGTCTTTCTGGTGGAAGTCCAGTGCATTATCCACTTCACTAGGGTCTGCTCCCATTAGCACTTGAATCACCTAATTATCTGAATGTTTTCAAGAGGGATGTCCAGGTTTTGTTGACTTCTATGTCAGGTTGACTGAATGTTTATTGGTTACATAGATGTAGAAGGCTACTTTTATCTTTATGTTTGTCATATGTTGTACATATCCTGTTATTCTGAATGGATTCACTTACCTCTCTGCACAGTAGTTATTCCTCATGCATCTGTCTTTGAGATTTTGAGCAACTAAGACACGTGCTTTGATGTAAACTGCACTAGCACATGATGTAATCATCATGCAAGAATAGCCCTCCACCAATAGAAGGGCGACACATCCTCCTTATGCATTTGTACTTGTGTTTAAGTTCAAATTTATTCAATTTCATGAGTTTGTGCTGCCTTTTCACAGTGTTAACTTTCTTTGGTTTATTTTTAGTCTGTTTTAACTTTGTTTAATCCCACATTACCACTAACTAAATAAGAATATTTTTGGTCTGAGAATTACTTGACCATTATTTCTCAAGTCACAGTGACTAGTTCTTCTACACCAATCTTTACGACACAATATCATTTTGCCTTCCAGTTGAAGAGTATACCCAGCATGAGATAGATGGATGTGGTTTCCCATGACTGTTTTCCCTCTAGAAGCCCCCAATATAGGGTTTTCCCCCTTCCATTGCCTTCTTGGCAGGGGCTCATCTAAGTTTTCATTATTGCACCAGCCCCATTTCCACATCAATGTTGGGTTCTAGCTGTTGTGTGCAGAGAGATAAGTGAAACATTTCAAAAGTTAACATTTTCCTTACCTTACTTTCCTTTCTGCATAACTTCCCACCTTTCCTCCCCACTACTGGTGCACACTATTCTTGTCTAAGAATGAAGTTAATTTTGAGTGCAAGCGCTCGTGGAGATCTACTGCACAAAGAGTATGTGTCACCCTCCTATTGATGGAGGGCTATTGTTTCATGATTATTACATTGTATACCAGTGAATTTCATGTTAAAACACTTATCTTAGGCAGGAAATAGTTCAAGGCTAGTAATATGTACACAATCTTAAAGGCAGACATGTGAGGAATGATTACTGTGTAAAGAGAGGTAAGTATATATCAGAAATACATTTTCAGGTAAGGAATATATTAATTTTTGGCATTATTATATTCCATTTTATTGTATGGTTTTCTCTCCTGGCATGATGGGCTATTCTAGATAGATCAGTATTACCAAGTCCTATATAAGTTTTATTCTCTTTAATTCTAACTTTTGTTGATGTTTTAATTTTTCCAGTGTATTGGAATCCACATTCACAGGAGATGCTGTTAATAGTGCATTCCCTGTCCATTGGATCTTTTGGGTGGTTGTGTGTGTAAAAATCGTGATTATATTGTGTTGTGGCTTCTGAATACTGTTTTAACTTTATGTTGTTTACATGTCCTTTATATGTTTCCAAAGATACCACTGACATTGGAAAATGTGGCTGTGTGTCTGTAATCTTCTTTATTTTCTTCTTCTTTATCAAGTGTTCCAATTATTCCTTGTTAAGGAGGGGTGAAGTGATGTTTTTTTTTTTTCATCTTCTTAACTTCTTTGCTATTACAAATCTTGTTCATTCTTGAAACTAGGCAGTATATGATATATTTCTTTACATTGTTGGGATGATATGATTATATATGAATTATATATATTGGTAACCATCATGTCAAGGAATGGGAGTTTATCTTTTTCTACTTTTATCATGAAATATATCATGAGACATTGTCTGTTCAGTTGGTTCATGAATTCTAGAATTTTATCTGTAGTGTGTATGGTCATACAACAAGTGTATCATTAACATATTTGTGTTAAATCTTGGGCTATAGAGTGGGTGTTTTGAGGGATTTAACCTAAAATAATCCACATAGAGGTTACTTGAGTACTGGTGATAGGGGTGAATTCAAGCTAGGGCTTCTTTTTCTTTGTAGATTTTATCTTTAAGGTGGAAGTAAGTTTTATTGACAGAAAAGGTTCTGAATTGTATTATTGTGGAAACTGCCAGTTGTATGTGTTCTTTAATAGTTCAGTCATTTTCAAGCTTTTAAGTGCCAGGGTTTGGCGTGTTAGAAGACAGGTTGGCTGTATCAAAACTGATCATTTTGTCTTGTGAAGTTATTCTGGTTGTTTTTATAATCTTGTATTAAAGCACAAAGCAGCTACACAATGGGCTATCTGTGCTGTGCCCACCACAAGTTTTTATAATCTTTACAAAGTGGACTAAGTTCTTAACATGAGAGGATGTCTTATCTGTTAATTTGTGATGTTAATATTAAATGTTGATCTGAGCAAGCTAATACATTTTCTTCAGATTCTAATGATGGTAACCTACTTAGCTTATTATGTAGCCTTTTGAATGTGTGTGTTGGTATGAAGTTTGAATAGCTGAATGTATCTGGATAGAGTCTATGTTGTCTGTTGTATTACCTATCTTCTGACATAGATTACTCATATTATTCTGTATATTTTCATGATGATATTTGATCCTATCTTGAATCATGGCTTTATTAAGTTTCTGAGTTATTCTTTAATATCATGGGTGTTTATAGGTAATTAATCCATAAGTCCTTAGATATTTCATTATGTTGTTTACTTTTATGAAGGAAGGAGAGATAATGGTGATGGTAAAGCAATGGCCTTGTTAGCTGGAGGACCTGGATTCAAGCCCTACTCCCAGGGTCTCTTTTTCAGCTTTTTATGAAAACATTAGTGTTAGAAAGTGTCTTTTAGTTCTTAACAGAATATAAAATAATTGTCTTTATTGATATTTATACAATATTAGTTAGTAATTAATAATTAGACTTAGATGATTCTATAGCTATTAACCATAACAACAATTAGGAGTAACACATAAAAATTCATCTGGTTTTATCCCATTTACTAGGCTATGTCTCTTACTCTCTGCAAGCTTTGTTTTTTCTACAATCGGGGATACATATCTTGTTGAGAAATGCATCTAGTTAAAAGCATGGCCTGTCAAACATACTGTTACGTCTCCGTTCATTAGTTAATTTTCCGTAACTTCGTTCCGAAGAAACTTTAGAGACACAAGTCCTTTCTTAAATAAAACTGGTTTATTCTTTCCGAATACAACTTTACGATACACTTAATTTCAACAGTCACTCTATAACAAATGCTATAACTCACGTCTCACGAGCACGACTTCAACAATACTCCATTCAATTACACACTCTCTGACTGCAGTTCAATTACTCACTGTCTCATCACGTTGT